CCGGCGATTTCGACAAAGGAGCGTCCGGAAGGACATGTGATGACTCCGGGCTGGACTCCGCTTCGTCCACGGTGAAAGCCGATCCAGCGATCCACAGCGCAAAGTTGATGTATTTCCTCAGCGACCAGCACGGATCAGCTCCAGGCATGACGAAGCGGATATCGTCCTCTTTTGGAAGGCCAAACAAAGTAGTTTCGCTTTCACAACGAATCACACAGCGCCTTCACGACATGGCGGCGGCGGCAACAACAATACTATAGCGAGAATAAAAGTTACGCCTTCTTTCTTTGCGTGAACATTTGGGCGGCGTTATGCAAATCTTCCCACATAGTGAGGTAGACATGTGGAGGCGTGTTAGAACGAGCCGTTTTAGGTAGACGTGGCTGACTCTTAACTTTTATAAAGAATATCTCTTTGGATTTGAGACTTTAGTCTTTGCAACTTTACAGATCTTCTTTATGCACCAAGAGCTTGTAACACTCCAAAGAGAAAGGAAAAATTGAAATCGCATCATATGACCCCTTTAAATGAATCAGACATTCCATCACTAAATATGAGTGAGGTGACTTTTCTAATGCTACATATGAAAGAAAGATGACAGTTTAGGATAAACCGATTCATTCGAACAAATCAGAATTTCTATCAATATATATGAGAGAGAGGACCATTTAAAATGATCCAATTCAAGAGAATGAATATTAATTTTCTAATACTAGAACATATGAGAGAGAGAGGTCCATTTAAGAACTGATTCACTAGAATAAGTCAGACTTTAACACTACTAACACTACAGAGAAAGAGAAGACTATTTAGGATGAATTAATTGACTTGAATAAACAGACTTTCCAACACTAATAATGTATGAGAGAGAGACAGAGAGAGGACTGAAATGGAATTGAAACACTGCATATGAGAGAGAGGACAGTTGAGGATGAACTGATTCACTAAAATGAATCAGACATTCTACACCACTAATAATGTTACCAAAAATATAGTTAGTAGCATCACTACTTTTTTAGTTAGATACTTTCCGACACTGCTTGAAATATGATGGAAGTCATTTGGGCTCCTTTTGAAACTTTTTTTGACTATTTTAGAGCTTAAAAGTCTGCAATTCACTTTTTTCTCCTGTTCAAAATATATTTTGTGTTCCATGGGGAAAAAATCATACAGGTTTGAAACGACATGAGGATGAATACATGATGACAGAATCATTTCTGGTCTCTGAATTGTGCAATGCACCTTCCATGTGATTGAAAGGGTGCCTGGGTCGATGGAATCACTGCGCACTCCTTCAGGGTTACTGTCTGGAGCTGTAGAGGACAAATCATAATTTAGTGCCAAGATGTTCTAACATGGCAATAAAACTGTCACTTCATATCAGCCACATGCTGAGAAAAGACACAAACACAAATCCAAAACGTCATACAATGATTCAAGGGACAAAACAAATGCATCACAATGTGGCAGTACAAGTCTTTTCTGTTTTAAGGCTATGTAAACACCCACATGCACACACGTGCTGTGTTACTTACGAGCAGCTGGTGTGGAAAAGACGTCCGTGTACATGCTCGGGTCACTCTTGCCGATGTCATTGATGGTGATGACTCGGAAACGGTAGGAAAGGAAGGGCTTCAGGGAAAGGGTGGTTCGCTGATTGTTGCCTGACACGCGGCTTAGCTCCTCCCATTCTTTTCTTTCATATTCAGTCTCCTCAAACTCAATCAAATATTCTAGATATATATAAACACGTACATATACACACAGAACAGGAGGAAATGTCACTGATTTTATCAAAGACTGGTCCCCAAAAAGTGTTGGACTCTTCAAACACACTTAAAAAATGTATGAATGCAACTGCATTACATATGAAATATGAAAAAAAGGCATTTATTTTACAGAAAGCACACTTTTTAAGAAACTGGGGTTCATGAGTTGATGAAAAGCTCAAAATTGAAGTAAATTATTAAAAACTAAAATACGTTAAAAAACAAAACAAGTCGAGATGAAATACAAAAAATATATTTAAAAAATACAAAAATATTGTATTTGTTCACTTGCATGTCATGTGACTAGTTACCAACATCAGAGAATCATGAACTGATGAAAATTTAAAAACTGAATTAAATCATAAAAATAAATAAATACAAAATATTTTATCTGTGTAAGTGCATGTCATATCTGTGACTAGTTACCAACATCAGATAATCATGAACGTGTTTTTAAATTACTGAAATGGTAAATTACTGGTACTTTATAGTACATTTTATAGTAAATCTATTTTATAGTAGATATTTTAGTTCTGAGAAAATGTGGTTTGATATTGGTTTGATATTTTGTTTGTGAACTTAATGACATTTATATGTATAGTAAATGTGGCTGAAGTGTCCAAAAATGTTCAAATCTTTTTTTTTTTTTGAGATGGCTTGTAATATCACAATTTGTTGAACCATAAATGTATACAACATTTGACATTTAAAGGGGAAAAGATCAATAAGTAGCACAAAAGATTGACATGCATCAAATACTGACTGCGTACACTTAAACTGTTGCCTAAACAGGAAAAACATACGGTACCTAGCACAGGGCTGTTATGATCATCTCCTGGTGTCCAGCTGAGAGTGACACTGCGGTCTTTAGGTTCGGTCATCTGTATTTGGGTCGGAGGGTCTGGTCGGTCTGGTGAATGAGGGTTGACAAAGAGCTCAAGGGGGTAAGATGCTAATAAAAACAAGGCATCTATGGTTTTCAAAGGTTATTTCTTTAATCTGCCCTACAGCAAAACATGTCCTTTTGTCCTTTTTGTAAGTCACATTATCATACAACATGCAATACACATACAGCAATATAGATCCAGACACGTAAAAGGGTTTAGAAATGTCCATATTATAAAGTTACTTACCAACGATAGTGATGGAGCCACTCGCTTCAGCTATATCCAGAGTGGTAATGACTTCACAGGTGTAAATCCCTTCATCCTCTTCCTTGACATCAGGTATTATGAGGGTAGATTCGTCTATTATGTACCTAAGACATTTATGGTTAATAATGTTCATGAGATCATGTTATACAGCTTAAACTAAGCCTTTTTGAAGCATTCTGAGGGAAACGAAGGTATAAAAGCATACTTGTCTGAATCAGAGGACTCTGTGAGCTTCTGTCGGTTTTTCCTCCACTGGACTTGAGGGGCGTCCTGCCTGGAGTCCACCTGGTACTCACAGGTGAGGGTAGCGGGCTTCCCCCGCTGGATTCGCAGAGCCAGTGGAGGTTTCACAATGACTGTCTTATCTGTTAGACAGAATTTCTATTTGTAAAAAATAGCTTCATTTTAAGTGAAAAAAAGTTCTTTTTTGTGTCTTGTTTCAATTAAAAAAAAAACATTTTTATTATTTAAAAAAAAAATCCACAAGAAATTAAATTATGAAAGATAATAAGAGACTTTCAGAATATAGATCCCAAATTAGTCATATTTTTAACCAATTTTTCTTGTTATAATAAAAAAAAACTCTATACACATAGTATTACTATTTAATAATATTATTTATAATATTAATCAACAAAAGCAATGATCCTTACAGCCTGAAATTAAACCTACAGCATGAAATGAAATCAAGAATGAATATTCAAGCATGTGGAACTCACTGAGTACGTCCAGCTCAGCGGTGATGGTGATTTTGCTGTTGCTGACAGTGCAGGTGTACTGGCCACTGTCATTGAGGGAGGCATTACTGATCTGCAGAGAGCCATCGAGTAACTGGCTCATCCTTGGGTTGGCTACAAGAGCGCCCCAGGTCTCACCCTCCCTGCGAACACACAAAATATTCATTTTAGCCTTTTTAAATGGATGCAAAATGTCAAGAACACCAATATATATATATTTTTTTAAATGTTGACTATTAAGTGTGATTTTGCCCATTTCCACTAATGGATTCCCCACAAAGCAGCTTCCCCCCAACAATAATCAGGACAGCTGGCTGGAGCAGTTCTGGCATGTGAGGAAGGGACACCCCACAGGATCGAGTCTGTCTCACCATGTGACATTAGGCCGAGGAGAGCCAAAGGTCTCACAAGCCAGCTCAATCATCTGTCCCTCTGCCACAGAGTACATCAGACCATCTTCTGTCAGAATCTGGGGAGGCAGTTCTAGAAAAACCAAATATAAAACATTAGAAACTAGAAAATGTATTTCGTTTCTACAAAAGAAAATAGCTATGACAGTTGCTAAGGTGTTTTGAGTTGTTGTTAGCATGTTGCTATGCAGTTGCTAGGGTAGTTTACCCATACATCTATAATATTCTGGACTCGTATGTTGTCTTAGCCAGCTCAACAACAAAAATAGCTTTTTAAGAGCTGTTTTTGAAAATTCCCTTACCTATAACATAGACGTAGGCATTGATCAGTATAGAGCTGTGCTTATTGACTGCTTTGCACTGATACACTGCAGTGTCACCGAGTTCCACATTCTTCAGAGTGAGAACACCATGTTTCACGCTGCGTCTGGGGTCTGGGTCAATATCTACGCAAAACGACACCTCAGTATGTCAATACAAGGTCATATACCATTGTCTCAAATATTATTCTACATATACAAGCAAAATATACATTAAAGGGATAGGTCAACCAAATTTTTTTATTTTGTCATCATTTACTCACTCTCATGTTGTTCTTACAATTCAACAGAAAAACAAAATCGTTCAACAGAAGAAAAAAAGTCATACATGGAACAACATGAGTTTATTTAGTTTATAAATTCTCATGTTGTTCCATGTTTTTCTTCTGTTGAATGATTTTGTTTCAAAGAAGATCGTTTAAAGCAGGGGTGCCCAAACTCGGTCCTGGAGGGCCGGTGCCCTGCAGAGTTTAGCTTCAACCCTAATTAAACACACCTGAAGCAGCTAATGAAGGTCTTACTAGAAACTTCCCGAACTTCCCGGCAGGTGTTGAGGCAAGTTGGAGCTAAACTCTGCAGGACACCGGCCC